TTTGGCTCAGTGGATAGAGCGTCGGCCTGCGGACTGAAAGGTCCCAGGTTTGATTCCGGTCAAGGGCATGTACCTTGGTTGCGGGCACATCCCCAATAGGAGATGTGCAGGAGGCAGCTGATCAATGTTTCTCTCTCATCGATGTTTCTAACTCTCTATCTCTCTCCCTTACTCTCTGTAAAAAATCAATAAAATATATTTAAAAAAAAAAAAAGGGTCTTCAGAAACCTTGCCTTGCTTATGAGCCAAAATATCACTTTGGCTACATCCTTTTAATGTATTTTAAGTGAATTACATTACACAGACACTCCTCCCCCCAACATATAAACAAAATAAAATACAGAAATTAGAGAATGTTATGATATTTTTTAATGAAAAACATGATTATGTTGTGAAGTATAAAGTAATTCAAACAAATTTTTGTTAAAATTAAACTTCAATATTATTGGTGGTGGAAGTTTTTACTTTTTATTCTAAGTGGGTATCTTGTTAATATATGTCTTTCAAATTGAAAAGTTTGCTAAGTGATTTTTCCCCCTCTAATATCCCATGTATTTTTCTGGGTATAGTTTTAAGATAAATGACAGAGGGTAGTAACCAGACCTCTGAGGAACAAATGATATGTGTGTTTTACCCACAATTTTTTTAAAGATGATTATTTTTTGGATATTACTCTGAAATCCTTAGAGCCAGGACCATTAACATTCTATAAAGTCCCTTAGTACATATTAGAAAATGATATACCTTCCTTAAAAACCTTAATCACCATCTGCCAGAAAAGGCACAGATTTTAACATAAAATTATAACACTATTTTATAAACATATACATCTATGATGTTTATACCTAATGGCCTTCCTTAGATATGGTACTGTTGTGCATTGAACAGCCTGCTTATAACCATAAATAGTAACCCTTCTTAAGAGCTATTTCCCTTATCCTTTAAGATTCTACTTTGTGTAAAATGGGAATGATTACTATTACATGATAAGAAATGATGTAAAGTATCTCCCTGTTTAGAAGATACTATATCCAGTTATTAATATGTTAGCCTAAATGTATTTACATTTTTGTTTAAAGTAAATTCAGTTTCTGAATTTAAATTATGGCTGTTCCTGTTAAAGCGTTTTATTGTGAGTACAATATTTGTATATAGCAGCTCATTGAATAATAAATATTAACCTAGGACTTACTTGCAAATTTTTTTTTAAAGCAGTGTTCTCAACCTTAGATGTTTTTAAAGGTGAGTTGTTTTTGTTAATTTTTAACCCAAACCCTCCGTGGTTAAAGGTAGTTTGGAATGAATTTTTTAAATGTCTAGTCTGGTAATTTATGATGTTTCAAAGAGGTATCTCTCTATTGTGTTGATTTGTTAATTTTGTAAATTTAACATTTTATAAATATATTTGTTCAACTTGAAAATAGGTGTGATAATGCATAACTATATATTTAGGTTCTATATCCTTATTATTTTTTTTTAAAAATATATTTTATTGATTTTTTACAGTGAGGAAAGGAGTGGGATAGAGAGTTAGAAACATCAATGAGAGAGAAACATCGATCAGCTGCCTCCTGCACACCCTCTACTGGGGATGTGCCCACAACCAAGGTACATGCCCTTGACCAGAATCGAACCTGGGACCCTTCAGTCCGCAGGCCGACGCTCTATCCACTGAGCCAGACCGGTTAGGGCTCTATATCCTTATTAAGGGACTCTTTTAAATGTAAGAGAAAAAATAAAGAATAATAATACACAGTCCAAGTCAGTTAAACTACTCTTAGGTACTAGACAGTGTGTTAAATCTCTTAGATTAATTACTTGGTTGATTCCTACAACCCTAGAACTAATGCAGATATAATAATGAATATTTTATTTTGCTTTTCGATGGGCCAACCTCTGTTCTAAGCTCTTTATATCTATTTATTTATTCTTCACAGCAATCTAATCTGATGAGATGTAGATACTGTTATTCTTATTTTAAGGGCAAAGGTGAAGGAAGTTATGTAGGGTCACACAGCTAATACAGATAGAGCAGGGGGTCAGGCCCTGGCAGACTTAGGGTCTGCATGCTTCTGGTTGTAGGAAGATATGGAATAAATACCATTCTCATTTTAGAGATGGAAAACTGAAGCTTCGAGATGTTAAGTAATGTATCCAAGATGATACAATATAAATGCAGTGACAACTAAGTTTTAAATTCTACGTCTATCTGATTTCAAAAGGAGAAGAATACTTCTGTCTAGACAGCGGTTCTCAACCTGTGGGTCGCGACCCCTTTGGGGGTCCAACAACCCTTTCACAGGGGTCGCCTAAGACCATCCTGCATATCAGATATTTACATTACAATTCATAACAGTAGCAACATTACAGTTATGAAGTAGCAATGAAAATAATTTTATGGTTGGGGGTCACAACATGAGGAACTGTATTTAAAGGGCCAGAAGGTTGAGAACCACTGGCTAGGAGGATCAGGCAAGCTTAATTTGAAGATGGAGCTTGATCTAGGCCTTGACTGCATTACCATCAACGTAAATGTGGGAAACTGGTGCCTGCTGGGAAACACTGAGCAGTCAGATTTAGTAGAAGTATGCAGGGGTTTAGTAATGGCGAAGTAAAGCTGGAAAGGTTGATGGAGCTAGATCCTGGAGGACTTTGATGTAGGGCTAAGGTGGTAAGATGTTCCTTAGAATGTGGCAGGATACATAAACCATTCACTTGGTTTCTTTTGATTTTTGTCTCCAGCCAATATTATTGAAAATACACTGTTGTGCTTGTGCCTTTAAAAAAGAAAAAAAGCCTCTGGCCAGTGTGGCTCAGTTGGTTGGGTGTGGTCCTATGCTCTGAAAGGTTGTTGGTTCAGTTCCCGGTAGGGGCCATGCAGGAGGCAGCTGATCAAGGTTCTGTTCTTATGTTGATGTTTCTCTCTCCTCCCTCCCCCTTCCTCCCTCTCTAAAAATCAATAAAAAATATTTTTTTTAAAAAAGAAAAAAGATAATCTATTAGTTCAAGTGAAAAATGCAGGCTGCCTAATCTTCACTTAGTTTTCCACTATACCCCAAGCTTCCTGAGGCCAAGAATTATACAGCAGTTAATTTGATACACAGAACTCAGAAGTTTTTGGGTGTTACTGAAGTTTTGGGGTGGCAAGGTAGGGTCAGAAAGTTGCCTTAGTTAAAATTCAAGTAATAGTACTCTACTTTATGGCATCAGATTATTTTTATTTATTTATTTTTTTAAAATATATTTTCTTTTTTTTTCCTTTTTTTTATAATTTTTGTGAATCTCTCTCTTTTTTTTAAATATATTTTATTGATTTCTTACAGAGAGGGAGGGAGAGGGATAGAGAGAAACATCAATGAGAGAGAAACATCAAACAGCTGCCTCCTGTACACCCGCTACTGGGGATGTGCCCGAAACCAAGGTACATGCCCTTGACTGGAATCGAACCTGGGACCCTTCAGTCTGCAGGCCGATGCTCTATCCACTGAGCCAAACCGATCGGGGCTAAAATATATTTTCATTGATTTCAGAGAGGAAGGGAGAGGTAGAGAGAGATAGAAACATCAATGATGAGAGAGAATCATCAATTGGCTGCCACCTGCACACTCCTTACTGGGGATCAAGCCCATAACCCGGGCATGTGCCCTTGACCAGAATCGAACCCGGGACCCTTCAGTCCACAGGCCAACACTCTATCCACTGAGCCAAACAAGCTAGGGCCATCAGATTATTTTTAAAGAAGAATTATGAAATTAGTTTAATTGAAGTAGTTAAAGTCATTTAAAATACCTTAAAAAAAACCCACAGTTAACATGGGAATGTGGATTTGTAAAGGCATATTTGCTATTCTCCCTGAAGAGCAAATCCCTGAAGGTAGAGTTTAGAGCGTATTTACTGAGGGCAGTCTGGTTCATCATAATTGTTAAAAGACTATAAGAACTGATGAACTAAATTAAGTTCATTTACTGTGTTTTTCACTACTTCTATTTCATCATTGGCTCAGAAAACAAAATATGTCTTTAGGTCTTTGATCAACATGTAGCACTATACAATATAATTCTAAACACTATGAGCCAAAAGAAAATTTTATGCCTTGTCTTTCTGGGTTACAGAAAGCATTTAGAGAGTGCATTTTCTTGTAAAATTTTCTTTCAAAATGTGAATAAAAAGAACACCACCCTCCCCGTGAAAGAGAAGGCAAAGGGACTGCCTCGCTAAAAGAACCAGACAGCCTTGATTGCCTGCCTCGTTAGGCTTTAAAAATAAGAATTTTGTTAAATGCTTCTTTTATCCTTATACTTGTCCTTTATCCCAGTTTTTCTGTCACACCACATGAAATGTTTAAAGAGTGCTTCCTGTTAAGTTTTATTTTCAAGGGAAATTCATTGGCTCAATACAAATGCTGAATTTCTTAAATTATTTCCAACAGTATTTCTTAAACTTTGCAGTTTGAGTGTCTTTTTTTAAAAATAGTTCCTGTTGGTATATTGAACAAAAGAACTTATCTACTCTTTCATTCTATCCTACTGAAATTTAGAGCATGTGTTATCAAAGCCTACTCTTTCTAAGCCAAATGGCACAAAATATGTTATTAACAAATATATTTCAAATATTTGCTTTTCTGGTCTTCTTTGAGAAAGTGACTAACTTAATGATGTTTGATCTACTATGAGTGGCATAGGAAAAATGTTTTGTTACTAAAACCACATGTTCTTACATTGGGCTTTTTTTTTTTTTTACAGGAAATGCTTTGGTTTTTAGTCAGCAAGAAAGGGAAAAGGGAAGGCCTGTTCTTAAGTTTTAACTAATTTGCAATCTAATATTAAGACAGTTGACAAAATACTTTGTCATAGTCATCTAGATAATTGTGGTGCAACTGAAAGATAGTAAAATTACTAGAAAATAACCACCTCCTCCTCAAAAACCAAACAAAACCTTAAAGTTTCATATGTAGAAGAAAAGCTGTGTTCTATCATTCTTTCATATTTTCATTTCCCTAGCCCTAGAAAGTTTGGGCTTTGGCTCTTATATCAGTGAAGTAAAAGAAGTTTTACAAGAATGCAAGACTGTAGCATTAAAAAGAAGAAAGGCCAGTTCTCGTTTGGAAAACCTTGGCATTCCTGAAGAAGAGTTATTGAGACAACAACAGGAATTGTTTGCAAAAGTAAGTAATTCATTTTAAATTATTGTCATCTGAATCCTATGCTGTTTGCTAATAGAAATCAGCCCGGTTTCTGAAATAATTTCCTAAATCATCTTACCTCGCAGAATTTTCTTTCTGTGGCTGTTTATTTAATCATGGAGTCTGATGTTTAGTAAAGATGGCCAGATTGACTCTATTTGGCCAGTTATTTACTTCATGTAAAAGTAAATATTTGCAGCAACCTGTTTTCTAAAGAGAACAACTCTAAATAACTACTGAGATTTTACTTTGATTTTTTTTTTCCCAGACAGAATGACTATTCAAAGCATGAAAAGTAGACCTAAACATTCTTAAGATTTAAAATGATGGGCTGATGAGAAAATACTCTTTTCAAAATTTATGATGAATGGCATATAAAGAAAATGTGATTAACATCTACTTTGCATTTAAATTAGATCTTTAATATACACTTAAAACATTCTAATCTTAAAAAAATTTTTGAAGTGTGCCAGAGGAGCAGAAAAAGGAAGAAAACTTTTCTTGTTTGGTACAGGTCTAATACCCAGACTGTGAAGGATTAGCACCCAAATACTAATATATTTTTAAAAGGAAGGGAGAAGATTAGGCTGTTTTTTTTCCCTACTAAGATCTGGCCTCTCATTTGAAATTGTAAGGCAGTTTTGGGTTGAATAGATTTTCTACCAGTTACTGTAGTTACCATTGGAATTTGGAAGTATCATTTTAGGTAATCTATTCCAGATTAGTACCATAGCTGATCTCTTTGCAATCATAACATCCAATTTGGTTTATACGAAAAGCATTTGAGTTTTAAGTGTTATCAGGCACTAGACTCCAGTCAACATTTGAACCAGTGGTTCCCAGCTTTTTTTTGGCCATGCCCCATCTAAGCATCTCTAAAATCCTGATGCCTCCCCTCCTTGACATATAATTCTTATTATTCAAAAAGTGAACTCCTATTCACATGGAGGAAGCCTAAAAGGCCAATAACTTGGTCTAAACAAGCTTCCAAAGAATATGGCATCCATGAAAAAGAAAAGTAAACGAACGAAAGGACAGTTGAAGTACTGAGGAAGAAATCACTAAGAAATTGTTAAAAAATAATAATAATATGAAGTGATAGGAAAAATAGCAAATAAAGTTTTAAAACATAGAGAACTGAAATGCATAAATATGTCACAATATATATTTATATACTATATATGAGGCCCCTAGAACCATAAGAAATTCACTGTTAATAACTCATTCTCCAATTGTCCCCCCCTTAAAAATCAAATTGCCCCCCTGTGGGGTGTGTGCCCCATGTTGGGAACCACTGATTTAAACTAATCTATCCTATCTAATAATAGAGAAACATGATAATTAACCATAACTTCGCTACCCTTCCCATTGGCTAATCAGCGAGATATGCAAATTAACTGCCAACCAAGATGGCGGCCGGCAGCCACGCAGCTGAAGCAAACATGAGGCTTGCTTGCTCCAGTGACAGGGGAAGCCAAGGTTCCCTGCCTGCCGCTGCCCAGCTCTGAGCTGCACTCTAAGAAACAATGTTGCAATTATAGAAGCTAAACAAACCCCAGAAACCTGCTTACAGCCGCCAGCAGGCTCAGAGATTAGAGCGCCAGTGATGGCAACAGAGTTTCAATTATAGAAGCTAAACAAACCCAGATACCTGCTTTCAGCCAGCCACAGCCTCAGAGCTGGAGCCGGCTCTCAGCTCCAGTGACAGCTATAGAAGGTAAATAAAT